TCCACAGATGCTGGATTCGTTTTTCTTGGTCGCAGATGGGGTATCTGAGAGGTTCAGAGAGCTGACCTACTTCTTGCCTCTGATTTCCACCTTCTTCCCCATCTCGGCCTGCTTCTTTCTCATCTGCCCAGATCAAAAGAGCACTCTTGAGCGTTTGACGGTGCTAAAAATTCATCAAGGGATGACGCTTGAAAGATTAGCACTCAGATCAAGTTGGTCCCCAGGCATTTGCCTCTGGAACCTCGACAGTTCCAGAGTCGTGCGGCCAATATGAATATCTTGTTCATACTTCCATTTCGGTATCTGGGAGAGGTCGTGAACGAATGCTGCCTATTTTGATCTATTGAACAAAGTTTGAGTCCAGTGGCACCTTTAAGACCAACAAAGTTTAATTCTGGGTATAAGCTTTCGTGGACATGCACACTTCTTCAGGTACTATTTTGCTTCTGAGGAAGTGTGTGTGCACTAGAAAGCTCGTACCTTGAATAAAACTTTGTTGGTCTTAAAGGTGCCCCTGGACTCAGACGTTGTTCTGCTGCTTCAGACCAACACGGTTGCTAGGTTTTCCAACCCCCCCCCCGGCCACCAGTGGGGCATGGGGGGGGGCCTTAGGGTTCACCAGATCCAGGCTGGGAAACTCCTGGAGATTTGGGGATGGAGCCTGGGCAGGACAGGAACCTCAGTGGGGCACAATGCCATAACGTCCACCCTCCAAAGTATCCGGTTTCTCTGGGGGAACTGATCTCTGTAGTATGGAGATGAGCTGTAATTCCAGGGGATCCTCTGGTCCCACCTGGAGGCTGGCATCCTAATGGCTACCCACCTGAATCTGTTTTGATCTGTTAGATACGAGACTCAGGCAACAGTGATCAACAGCTTTATTTAACACGTAGTCAGAAGAACAGAACGAGACAAATCAATGGAGCAACAGGCTCCTTTTTAAACTGTCCGGGCTTGGCGAGCCACACCCACATGTCAGCTAAGGTCCAATCAAATGCAGTACATAAAGACCAATCATTTCTCTTCCCTCCAGAACTTCCTTTGTTCTGATAGGTCTATTTTACAATACCTTTCTAGACTCAAGCTCATATATTCATTACATTACATTACATACACAACAGATCAATGTTCAGCTTGGGGTTGCCAGACCCCCTCCGTGCGGTCGGGGTTTCCTGATTTGGAGGGGCTCCTTCCTGCCCACCAGCCAGCCAGCTGGTGGGTGGGGGGAAGCCCCACCCCCAAGAGTGACCACCCGGCCTCCTCCTCACCTCTTCCCAACAGCGTTTAAACCCTGCTGGGGAGAGGCAGGGGCCGGACACCTGCACTCTAAGGCCCGAATTTGGGGCTCGGAGTGCAGGTGCATGCGGCCTCCCCCCACCTCCCTTTAAACGCTGCTGGGGAGAGGTGGGGTACTTCACTCCCCAACGTGATCACGTCACTTCTGTGTGATGTCATCACACTGGGGACTCCTCACCACCTCCACTAACGCCCTCCAAAGTCCCCCACTGAGAACTTTGAGGAATCTGGCAACCTTAGTTCAGCTGGAAAGCTGCTATGAGTCTCCAAAAGTCCACAATGTCTTCTTGGTCACACTTGGATGACTGAAGGAATGGGGACAAGTACAGGGTCTGCCTCCTACACCTGTACCTCCCCAGCCCTGGTTTAGGGAACTTTTTTTTATTAAGCTACCAAAAGGACATGGAAAGGAGCCCAAAACCAAGGCAATCCTCTTGTTTAGCCGCTGTTATTTCGTTGCCGCTGCTCTTAAAAGCAATATCAATGTCTCCAAGGTATTACCTCAGCATGTCGGATGTGAAGCAGCATGGTATAGTGGTTAGCTTTGGAGTAGGGTTTGGAGAGATGTTGGTAGAATGCCAGTGGAAAGAAAGGAAACCATGGATTTTCTAATGTGCTAACTCTCCGGTCAAGCGGATAAAACTTAAGGTGTACTGTGTCTGTAACCCACAAGCAAGGAAGGGAACTTGAGGACAAGTTTCTAAAGCAGGGGTGCACAACACTGAGCCCCACTGACACGGACAATTAATTAATTTAATTAATTTGTGTCCCATATTTCTCTCCAAAGGGCCCCCAAAGCAGTTTATAGTGTTCTCCCCTTTTATCCTCACAACAACCCTGTCAGGTAGGATGGGGCTGAGAGAGTGTGACTGGCCAATGGTCATCCAGCGAGCCTCCAGGGCACAAGTGGGGATTTGAACCTGGGTCTCCCAGGATCCTAATCCAATGCTTTAAACCGACTACATCACACATAGCAGAGGGCCTGTGGTTTCAACAGGGGTGTATAGCGTCTGACATGGCGATGCATGGCATGTAGCCCATGGTCCCTGCTGTGGGTCCATGGCCCCCTAACCTAGACATAGCCTGGAAACACCCACAGTTCTGCCCCCAGCCTCACAGGGGTTTGCTGCCAGATCTGTGGGCCTCCTAGCAATGCCGGAAGCAATGCAGTTGCCATGGCAACCTCTGCATCCTTCCGGGCTCACTTCTCTGACCTCAGTGGCTTCGAGGGGCCTGATGACATTGAACGGAAGGGTGGGGGCCTGATGAGGTCATGGGGCAGAGTGCAGCCTGGTACGTACTTTTTGCCGCACAGCCTGCTTAGTTCTCATAAAAGCCAATTTTGGTCCATGTAACTGTTTGAGTTGTGGGCCCTTGTTCTCAAGAAACGATTTTCAGCGTGTTTTAGCAGGAATCCACAGTTAATTGAAATCCCCATGCAGTTCTACAATGTTTATTTACAAATATAATTACTCTCTAAATATTCTCTGGAG